CAAAATCAAGAACTGTGACGGGTGCATCATGGGCTCCTGGTCATAGGAATAAAAAGTCTTTCTCTTCTAAATTATTCCCTACGAAATTCAGGATATGATCCAATCAGGGGACAATTGCATAAACCTGTTGAAACGGCAAAACCGAGCACTGTGAGATATTATAAGCGATAAACTTAGTTTAGTTTAGCACTACATTAGATAGCACCTGGACAGGAAGATGATTTGATGGCTTTATTAGAATCTAAGGAATGTGTAAATACTCCAGGGAAACTGTTACGCTGATGCATCGTCCTAATTTGTGAAAAGACAGATACTGTCAGTTATTACTGGAAAGAAAACATGCTCGTGATGTTGGGGAAGCCCAGTTCGTTGAACTTCATCTTATCCGCCGTTCTCGTCTAGATGACACACAAGTGGACCACTTTCTTGATTTTATATCGCGCCCGGAATTTTTACAGGACGTAGCTTATGGCAGTAAAGACTTGAAATTGAGTCACGGCGAGAAAATAGAAATACCGAATGTAGTGAGAACTGTCATTCCGTCTCGAATCGTCAATCTGTACGAACATTATTGTACGGAGATAGATTTTGAACCTTTGAAGAGGACAAATTTATATAATATTCTGCAAGTCTGTTCAACCTCGAAAAAGGCATCGCTTGCTGGATGGATAATATTGCCGCCGACGAAGCGGAAGCGTAAGAAAACTTAAGTGTCCATTTGCAAAACATTGTCTGGAAGTGGAAATTCTGTTGCATGAGAACAGAACATTGTTGCAGATATAAAATATGTACAGGTTTACTTGAAGACTGACTTCAAGCTTCATTTGTCTAAAACATCCACCTGCGCGGATCACCGCCTCAGTTACAGTTTATCAGAATCACCAGTCTGTGGTCATAGCCACGGTATCTCTTCCTCAAACTGTCATCGGTTACGAACTGTTATCTGTAAAATAGACACTGTCATAAATGGTAAAGAGATCATTTTTAGATATGATGGAAAAAAGGAAGAATTGGTCCATGACTTCCAAAATGCGAAATACAGAATTCTAGCCCTGAAATCTTATATAGTGAGAAGTGTGAACCAGGAACGAGGCAAACCCCACATTTTGGAAAATCTCGCTCCGAATGAAGCTCACGTTACATTTGATGAAATTCTTACCTAGACGATTTCGCGAATCACAGCAAGATTGGTATGCTAAAAGGGGTATTTCCCGGCACGTTACTGTAGTATCATATACACGCATTCGTACACCTTATAGAAAGTTGTACCCAAAATTGATTCAGCGTGCTGAGGATATTAGAAGCTATAATTTTAGAGATGGAAATTACTTCCGCAAGTGAATACCTTGTTTCTAAGATCGGACAATGCCGACGGTTATCATTACGCCACATAGCTATTATCCATTCTAACCCTTGCAAAAGGAAATAATATCACAATACGATTTCTACGAGTCGCAAGCGGGAACGGACATGTGTGATCGGAAGATTGCTTCTCTGAAAACTCATCTACAAAGATACATCAATGAAGGTCACGATATACAGAATGCGAATGACATGCGTGCTGGCTGTAAAGGCTACAGTTGATTTAGCCTAGTTATGAAAATAATTCATGATAAATTGATGGTAGACAGACTGACATTGATTGGAATTACTATATACAAAGACTTTGAGTTTCGAGAAAATGACATTTGCGTATGGAAAGCATACCAAATTGGAACTAGAAAGGTATTCAAAATGGATAAATTTGTGAGAACGGTGGATATTGAGGGTGCGGCTAGATTCTAAACATCTAAGTATAGTATACCCAAGTGTTGAATCTGGGACGACCGGCTCCAGACAGGATTATTGTAGATTCTACTGTTCTGAAGAAGGGTGCACTAAATCATTCAGAACTGAAACCGTACTAACAATGCATCTGTCACAGTTGTGCCCCAAAATGGGCATCCACAGTAACAGATGTTTCCTCCAAAGCTCAGGCAGTGACATTGACTATACCAGAAACCAGTACTGTTGATGAACCTTCGCTCTCCGCTGGATGGGCATTGAAAACAACCTCTTCGTATAACCGACTATCTGACAATGTGAAGGGATACCTTTATAAGGAGTTTATGAAAGGTGTAGAGACTGGGAGGAATGTAAAATCCGCAGACTGTTAGTCCCAAAATGAGCTAGTTTGTGGCCAGTGGCTGTTAACACCCTCTCTCTCTGGCGTCCAAATCATCGATGAAATAAAATATATTTGTACAAAATGGTAAAAAGTCCATACGGGTTATAAATTAGTACAGACGATCATATTGCGCATCTAAACTCCAGAATAAAAATAGTGAAAAGGCAAACAGGTGTTACAATTAAAGTAGCAAAGTCTCTAACTCGATATCTTCCAAAGTCTTCGACATTGAAAACACGAATTATTTGTCAATTTAAATCAACATTGATGTTGTGATCTTACCCGGAAAAGATGGGCTTCTGATATCCAATATTTAAGACAAAATAACCATTTTACCATTGGTGCACGAATCGTGTACCATAATGCGTGTCCGCGCCATTTGTAACAATGTACTCGAAGAACGAGGCTAAACGTATTTCATAAGTCATGTCAAACGGTGGCCCATTATTCTTATCTGGAGAGCATGCGCAATAAATACTATCGGTGTAGACTGGAATAACCAGACGCTAGAGATTGCTATTCGATTGATACTTCTGCGTATTTCGCCGACCATAACTGATTTGAAATTAAGAGTAAACACGGAAACGATTGAATGCAAATTAGTTTATATACATTCATATTACATTATTATATGCGTTGCGGCCCATTTGTGTCAATTTCTAGGCCCCAAATATTAGCGATTTAACTCCTTTAAGGCCAACTCGTAATACAATACCAGGCATTTATTTATTTAAGATATTAAGTGTACTTGTGATATTGAATGTATAAAGCATAATCAAAATATTTCGCAATAGTAATACCCGCTTTTCCTATGATAAGCATTAGGATTACTATATAAATAGCTATGATCAGACTTCAAGTGATATCATTAGTGCTCGCAGTGCATTACACTTGTAACTTCTAATAACAATCGGGGGGTCGGATGGCTGAATGGTTGGCGTGCGCGCGCTGTATCATAAAGTCTGTCATTGAGTCGACTGGCGTGGTTTCGAATCCCCGGTTGTACGTGGCAAGGAGTAGGGTCGCCTGTCCAACCTCGTGGGTTTTCTCCGGGTCCTCCGGTTTCCTCCCACTGCTAAAGACCCCTACGCGCAAGCGAATTATGTAAATAAAATTAAACCATATGTTAGTCCCGAAATGACCTAGTTTGTGTCGAGTGGACGTTAAACCCCATTTCTCTCTCTCTCTCTCTAATAACAATCACTAACATCGCTATTCTATCAAAAGTAAATATGAAAACTATAATTTTGGTTAAAGATACATTATGGGAGATAAGATAAAGAGATGGCAGTTCTCGCTATAATAGTTAAAAACTAGATAGTGTAAAGGTAATTTGCTGAAAATTTCAGTCAAATTGATCCACTATGAGCCGAGAAAGAAGCGGGTGAAATTTTTGCATAGTCTCGGTCATCATTACTAAAATCATTAAAATAAACAGCATAGTCTCAATTATCCACTTTTTTTATTTAATTATCAATGGCCGTTAGCGGCATATAGGAATCTAATCCAGCCAACATCGAAGGCTAGCCTTGACACCGAGAGTTTATTATGGTCTGGATAAGTTAATTAATGTCTAATTGATAATTTAGATAACATTTCAGGCCTAAAGAAAGACTTGTAATAAGCAGGTTTTGCTCTTGCATAATGCATGTTAAAAGGGACTAACCCGATTTGAATAGTCTCAACAATAAACGTCCGAGATATGAAATTTAAGCGCCAAAATATAGAGGAATGGTGTATTTACCCTTTCTCAAAATTTCAGCTCAGAATATTGAGTCGTTTGGACGTGAACGTCAAAAATGCTAATCCGGACACGTAACACTTTTAAAATTTCGGGTTAATATTTTGTTAGGTGACCTGATAATCGATTCCCGTTCCTTCAAAGGTCTATGTACAGTGAATGACTCATGTGCTGTACTTGATAACGAAAGGTAAATTTCACCTACACATTATTTTTTATAAAATAAAAGTCTAGTTTTATCCAGACACCGCATAATACAGTTTGGGACATCGGTCTTCATTTCCAGATTAAGACTGACAGGTTTTAGTTGTTTAAAAACGTATCACATATATTGAGTTACTTGCTCTGTCCTAATGTAGTGGATTTTAAGGGATTTTAACACAAAATTAAGCAGCTGTATTCTCCAAAATATCATCCGGATTGGCCCTTTAAAGTACCTTGCATATAATAAACACGTTTCAACTTGTAACAAATAGATAATGAGAATTGTTTTACTTTACAACATGTTCTCGAGTATCAATAGGCATTAACAATATTTGCGAGTATAAATTAACTATAATGACAATTTTCGATGGCTTTTTAATAAATTTATGTTTCAAAATTTGATGGTTGTGTTTTGTAAGTAGTGTCTACCTGAAAAGTTAAACATGTCGCTAAATTGTTACATATTCTTGTTTAGCTATACCTATACTCCATAAACGTTTTAACAAAAGAAAGAATGGAAACAAATTATTACTTTTATAGATTTCAGTAAAAAATAGATTCAAACTAAAGGAGTTATTGGCAAAGGTACATGTATACCAATATTTACTCACAAAATGCTATTGTTATATCTGGAGGCTTTTCCGTGCAGTCAATAGCACTTTTGACCTGTGGAAATTTACATGGACTCTGTGACAAAGAGCATTTACAAGAATTATTAAACATATCAAGTGAAAAGATCATGTGTAATCACATCTTTTGTGGCTAAAGGGGATTTGCGAAGGAGGGCCATGGATAGAATTACAATGTGAAATCAATCATGTGATTAAATCAAGACGATATAAAAGATTTCACAAGGTCCATGTTAAGCACATTGGATTTCAAGCCTCTTGTAATTTTCTCCAATCGCTTTAACATTAAGATCATAGTTATGCTGTACTTGGTAGTAGCCGTCCTGTTTGGATTCGCAACAGCTGAGCCAACACGGCCTGGATGCTGTGTTCCACCTCAATGGGAAGGTATCGAAGGAAGCATTATCGGGATGGTACGAGATGGTGTCTCATCGGTAACTGATGTAAGTATTTTTCGAGGCTTAACAAAGTCAACTGCCTATGTAATACAATTGAATACCAGGAAAATTGATGAAAGGTCCACATACACCAATTGTATAAAAACATTTTTGATTACTATAGTTATAAGAAGAATGAATGATGCTCAATGGGTCCTAAGGAAAAAATAGTTATCTAGTCATGTACGTTAAAGGGTTTTTGATTTTTTAATCGAAGCCATATAATTTTGAATTGTCGTTGATCGAAACCAGCAGTCATTTGTCCGTCAATCTCAATAAATGAAAACGTGATGCCATTGAAAACCTAGAAATGAAAACTTGATTACTGCAGAAATAGCTGTCCAGATCCGCATCATTCCAACGTTTCAAGTTTACCTTCGCATGCATATTGTTATTATTTATAAGTTATTACTATTGTATTTGGAATAAGTACTTTTATTAATAAGAAAAAAAAAACATTGATTTATTTTTATATGCCCACATTTTCATGTGGACGTATATTGTCGTCGCTCTTGTCCGTCCACAATTTGTCTGTTGACACTCTACAACAGGTCACAGTTTTTATCTGATTTTGACGAAACTTTAAATATAGGTTTATCATTTCGATATTGGCATGTATCATCAGATCGTAACTTAATATGGGCCGTGATTGAACGACAAATCACGTTTTTATACGCCCACATTTTCATGTTAACGTATATTGTCGTCGCCCCTGTCCGTCCGTCCACAATTTGTTTGTGGACACTCTACGGGTCACAATTTTTATGCGATTTTGACGAAACTTGAAATAATGGTCTATCTCCCAAAGATCTTGATCCCTTGCGATATTGGCATGTATCGGACCAAAACGTCATAGATTATGGCCCCTGATTGTACGAAAAATCACGTTTTAGCTTGTAGGCACTCTAGAGGTCACAATTTTGATCCGATTTTAATGAAACGTTTATAACCCAAATATCTTGTTTATAAATGTTTATAAAGAGTACATGATAACTTTGTACAAACCTGGTCGTCTGAAATTAGTTCCACTATATACGGTGTATATAAAAATCAGTTCATATTTGAATCATATTTAAATGAAAACATAACAAACGAATATAAATCGGCACTACTACGTTTTCGGTGTGGCAATCACAGGCTTGAAATAGAGACCGGTCGATGGCAAATATACAAAGAATAAATATAATTTGTAAATACTGCTCCTCAATAGGCATTGAGGTAGTTGAAAATGAGGCCCATTTTATTGTTAACTGTCCTTTATACTCAAATCTACGAACAAAACTTTTACCAGAAATTTGCAACAAAAGAAAATATAATATTAGTCAATTTAAATATGTTATGTCAAATGAAAATGTGTGTGAAAATCTTGGAAAAAACGTATTAAGAGAAAAATTTATAAAACAAACCTAAAAATTTCTGTATATTATTTATATTTAACAACCTATCTTATTTGACGTCTTTATTCCTATTTAAACTATTATATTATATTATATTATATTATATTATATTATATTATACGTGAACTTTGGGCCGGAGGCCTTTGATACAGAATAAATTATTATTATATGCTAAATATCTTGTTTCCTTTCGATATTCGCGCATATCGGATCGTAACGTCCTGAATTATGGCCTCTGGTTGTACGAAAAATCGCGTTTTTAGATTGTGGTCCCTCTAGAGGTCACAATTTTTATCCGATTTTAAAAAAACGATTTAATATATCACCGTTACACCCTAATGATGGTTGAGTTCGTATTTGGTGAAAATCCAGTTTTTATCCGATTTGGATGAAACTTTAAATATATGTTTTTAATCAAACATGACTCCTTTTGATAATCACACATATCACACTTCCTGGATTATGGCCCCTGATTGGCCGAAAAATCACATTTTTAGGTTGTCGATTCTCTAGAGGTCACAATTTATTTTCCGATTTTAAAAACCATTTAGATTTATCAGCATTACACCATAAAGAAGGTTGAATTGGAATTTCGGGAAAATCGAAATGAAAGTGCCCGACAAAATGGCCGCTCTTTGTACTCAAATTGTGTATAAGTATGTAATACAAAGGTTATGGACCCTTTATACAAAAATTATGGACCCTCTAGAGGTCACAATTTTTATCCGATTTTGATGAAACTTAAAACATATCTTTATATTCCAAAAAACTAAGTCCCTTTTGATATTTGCGCATTTCAGACCATAACTTACTGGCTTATGGCCCTGATTGTGCAAAATACCGTTTTTTTTTTTTTTAGCTTGTTCTCTATCCATCTCTTGCAAAATGTGGGCGTATCCTGTCTGACAGCCGTTGGTTTAATTTATTTTTATCTGATTTAAAATTACTGTTTAAATATTTCACCGTTACACACTTATGATGGTTGAGTTCAAATATCGTGAAAATTTGACCGAAACTGCTGGACAAAATGGCCGCTACTTGTACGCAAATTGTGTAAAAGTATGTAATACCATGGTTATGGACCCTCCAGAAGTCACAGTTTTTATCCTATTTTGATGAAACTTAAAATATATGTTTATATCCAAATGGTCTCGGTTCATGTATATCTGACCGTAATTTGATTATGGCCCCCGATTGTACAAAAAATATCTGTCCATCTCTTGCAAAATGTGGGCGTATCTTGCCTGACAACCGCTGGTGTAATGAACAAATAAAACCATATCCTACAACACATTGTGGTTGTAATTATTAAAGGCTGATTCACAAACGACAAAATAATAATTTCAAAAAAACGTGTATAATGCACCAAGCAGGATTGAATATAATCATCTTTACATACATTCATATGTGCTTTTAGAAATGAAATGAAATGGGGTTTAACGTCCTACTGTTCTACTCCTATACTGGGCTAATGAAGACGGGCATACGCCATACAGTGTGCTATGAGGGAAATTTTGCCCGGGCAGCGGCACTATCGCCTACTCTTATATCGAATCCCAACTGCCAAGGAATCTTTTACGTGCATTCCAATGTTTACACGAGACCTCGGTTTTTCGTCTCATTCGAAGGACTAGACAGCTGTCCTTGCCAGGCCCTCCGTCCTGCAGTTATTTTAGAACCATTTTGTCTATTTCAAGGTTCCAAAAAATAGATCCATATGCCATTTAAAGAAATGTCTTCTATTCACTAAATATTAGCTTATCTGTGTTAATAAATCTACACTGATGAAATAGTAATAATTATTATTTACAGTTTTTCGACCAAAATTAGATTTTAAGATAATTGAATCCCTGGAGTATATACAGATTTGCCTGAAATGTTGCATACTTTGTAATGTAAACATGTCCAACTAAACTGCGTAGTCAAATAGTCAAGATGTCTTTGAATAAATCTATGCAAAAAAAACACATTCCCCGCAATGTGTTATTTTTGTTTAGTTTCTATCAGTTTCATTTTCTTCGAACGAAAACTAATAATAAAGACAGAATTTATAAAAAAAATCTTATGTTTTATTTATTTATAATTTATAGTTTTTCTATCAAAATTTGATTTCCAGACAATTTAATCTCTGTTGTTTTCTGCCATTTCTAGCCTAGAATATTAGGAGAACCCTTGAACTCTTCAGAGTTACCCCATCCTTAAAAATAGGCATTTGCAGACAAGGACGTATACGTCTTTGTTTGCCACATTTTATTTTTGCCAGGCTCTCCGCCCTGCACCACCGACATGGGCAAACCACATCGGAAACCTCCGAGGAACTTTTTCGACCACCAGTAGGAAAGAACTCGAGACCTCCTGGATGAAGAAACATAATACAAACCAGAGATCAATGAATACTTTAAACTAAAATATGTCTGAATCAAACAAAACACGTAATAAAAAAATCAATGACTATTTTATTATTTTAATTTTCCATACAAAAAAAAAAGAAACACAGATACGCGGATATTTAATGATGACGTGTCTTTAAAGGGAATTTAAAATAGACGCCTTCTCGTATTATCAGCACATGACATTTCTTCGGAACGTTTTACAGCAAAACAAAAACAAATACGTGGGAAATAAAGGAACCACGATCATCAAGTTGCATTATCGTTTTGGGAGAATCACAGACACCGATAAATAGTGATATTTCAAGACCAGTATTGACATTTCAGTGCCTATGCCCTGATAAGAAAAATATGACTCGTAGTTCAATGTATCACACAATGTCGTCCAAGTAAACGAACCCTTGTATATTGTGTCCTTTCTAAATTTTTAGACACAGACATTAATATCATATGATGAAACAAACCAAATGATCTTGGCCAACACATACACTGAAGCTGCTGGACAAAAAATTAATGTGAAGGTCCTACAGGACTTTAACAAGGTAAGTTGGCTTTAAATAAGTCTTTTTATCGTCACGGAAGTTGAATTATATGGTAATTGTGAATATCGTTTTTTTCCACATGCATTATGCAACATACATGTGTATATGTTAGCTCATGCATTGCTAACACGTATATGCTAACACGGGTATATTCGTCATTTTGCAATAGTAATACATAATGACAGCAATGTTAAAAATTTACAGATTATCAAAAATATTGCTTTATAAGTTTCTTTAAAGGTGTTGTTTTATAAAGAATTATAGTTATCCCGGGGGTTCCAATAGGAAATTATGTATTTCAGATTGAGGCTGCTTATGTGCAATGCAATATAATACCTTTCCTTTTTTAAAGGGTATGCAATATGTGATAAATGTCGACCAGAAAACATGTACAGGAACACCGATGCCAGGACCATTCACAAAAGTTTGTCTACCAGGTAGGCATATACATTTTTCATTGATTCATATAAACCTTTGACCGCGGCTCAGCATACGGAATAACCTTTTGTTATTTGGTAGAATTGCATTTCCTGATATGTCATTCTACACTTGTTAAAAATATAACGAAGGATAACTCAATACTTGATCTTAATCCAACGTATATTTATGTTCATTTAGATTATGGTATAAGTCAAACCCGCTGTTAATTATTAATACTTGAAAACGTCAAAATTCGGCTAAATTGTTATATATACTTTACGGTTATTTTATTTAAAGCAATTTGTTGTTTTTTTCTTTCAGCTGATGCTGAAGTTCTAGGAAACATTTATTTTGGTATTGGAGACAATAGATTTGACGCCCTTTCTTTCAGGGCAACAGTTAACAACACTAGAGTCACTGTAGTTACTACCCCTGAGGATTGTATTCCTGTATTGGAAACTCTTGCAGGAAATTTCAGTGGAGGTAATATAAGTTGGTTATGAAATATATAATTGTGCCGTATCTATTTGTGCCGTGTCTAAATCAAATAGCTCCATTGTGTTGATTAAGTATGCTTTCTGGTCCTAACTTTGTACTTAATACATTTATAACAATTTTTATAAAAAATTTTTTTCCAATATTAATACTTATTAATCCTTAGAGCCCTATCGATTACGTCCTTTGTTTTAACTCTTTTTTGCCAATGGAATGGTTCTAACCCCCTTTTATAGTCTGAAAGGGAAATACTACCGCAAAACGTTGCTTTAAAATGAACCAGCGGCTATCAGGCAGGATACGCCCACATTTGCAAGAGATGGATAGAGAACAAGCTAAAAACAAACGGGATTTTTGTACAATCAGGGGCAATAATCCAGAAAGGTATGGCTTAAAATGTGTAAATATCAAAAGGGACAGAGATCTTTTGGGTATAAATATATGTTTCAAGTTTCATCAAAATCGCATAAAAATTGTGACCTCTAGAGGGCCCACAACCTTATTATTATACACTTCTACACAATTTGCGTACAAAGAGCGGCCATTTAGTCGGGCAATTTCATTTCGATTTTCCCGTAATTCGAATTCAACCTTCATTATGGTGGTATGGTGATGTATTTAAACAGTTTTTAAAATCGGAAAAATATTGTGACCTCTAGAGAATCCGCAAGCTAAAAATGCAATTTTTCGAACAATCAGGGGCCATAATCCAGGACGTTAAGTTCCAGTATCCGCGATTATCAAAAGAAACCAAGATCTTAGTGTGTAATGGTGATATATTCACAGGTTTTTTTAAAAAGAAAACGTGATTTTTAATTTGTGGACACTCTAGAGGTATCGCGATATTGGTATATATCGGACCATAACTTCATGGATTATGGTCCCTGATTGTACGAAAAATCACAATTCTCATCTGATTTTGATGAAAATTGAAATGCATATTTATAACCCAAAGATATTAGACCCTTTCGATATTTGCGCATTTCGGATCGTAACTTCCTGAATTATGGCTTCTGATTGTACGAAAAATCGTGTTTTTAGCTTGTGGTACCTCTAGAGGTCACAATTATTATCTGATTTAAAAACCATTTGAATATATCACTGTTACACTGTAATGACGCTTGAGTTTGTTAAATTGGACCAAAACTTCTGGACAAAATGGCCAACCCTCGCACGCAAATAGTGTAAAAATATGGTATATCAAGCTCTAGAGGTAACAATTTCTATCCGATTAAAAACAAAAGGTTTGAATATATCACCGTTACACCCTAATGATCGCTGAGTTCGAATTTTGTGAAATCGGACCAAAGTTTCCGGACAAAATGGCCGCCATCGTACGCAAATAGTGTAAATATATGGTATATCAAGGTTGTGAACCCTCTAGAGGCGACAACTTTGATCCGATTTTGATTTTGATTGTTCGAAAAATCGCTTTATGTTTAGCTTGTTCTCTGTCGATCTCTTAAAAAAAAATAATTCTCAAATGCGTTACACAATGAACTAAGTAAATGATAAAATTAAACTTTTACTATGGCATTCTCCTTTAACTAAAATAGCCATCGGACATGACTTACAGTAGTGTTAAGAATTTCTGTGAGTAAAAAAGTTAGGCCAAGCCCCTTAATCTGACTTTCAGGTTAGCAAAAAGATTACACTCTGGAAAATAAATTAAATTTTAAAATTGAAACTCATTCATGGTCATTTTCCATAATAAGTATGTTTTCCCAACCTTTAAGTGCATTATAATTATAGGTATATAGTGTTTCGCTAATCGCAGCTCATGGACATTTTCCTAGTGTTTAACATGGGCTCCAATATGACATTACCATTATCTCTCCAGGGGTTAACACTTTATTGAGGTCTTAAAGGAGCTAAGTCGCTCATATTTGGGACCTATTAATTGACACGAATGGATTATCTTGGAACTTGGTATACTTATTCCTTGTACCCTAAGGACGGCAACTATTGATGTTGGTGCACAACCCTCCCCCCCCTCCTCCCTTTCGGCGGTGCCACACCCACTTTTTGATGATATTTTGTCTGTAAATGATATACAGGTTGCAATTATTAACAGATTTGGGTCCAATTCGGAATGATACAACACAGGGTTGTACAGCACATTGGTCCTTGTCCACCCCCACCTACCCCCCCCCCCCACTGCCAGTGGCAGAGCCACTCTCAATTTTTGTGGTTTTATTTTGTATACAGGCTGGAATTAATTCTAATTGAATCATCTTGGAACTTTGCATATTTATTCCTTATCCCGTGAAGACAGCAACTATTTATTTTGGTGCATGCCCCGACCCCCTTGGGGCGGTGTCACACCCACGTATTTGTTAATATTTTGTATGTAAATTTGGCAAAACAAAGCGAACGCCTAACCTTCTTTATCTCTTGTCATATTACAGCCATTTTACAATTCATTCTCTTCATTTTCAAAAGTACCATATCATTTAAAGCAAGTATGTGTACGTATATTGCAGCGTTAGCGATGCTTTCGTTACATATTTTATGCTTCAGCGCACTAATTTGTTGTACAGTTAATGCGATGTATGCTTGCTTCAAGCCTACTTCCAAATGCTTCATTTTCAGAATTTGATCTGTTCTGCCTTCTTAACTTATAGTACACCAAAAGTCACCAACATTAATGACTGTACCGATCTATCGAACATTCCCCACCGATCAGTTTGAAGTAGGGCATTTGATTTTCTGCATGGACAACTAATTGAATCTACATTACATTATGAATACCCCCTTCTTTGAGTCAATTCCATATTAAATGGCAATCCAAAATTCTGCTATCGATTATATATTCAAATTATTATGTTACCAGATAATCGTTGGCCCACTTTTCATTGTGTGATTGTTAGAACTTGGCGAGTCCAAATGATGTGGTGATGTGTGGTTTTTGTGGAATTCGACTTTTGTATTTTGACTTTTCGTTTGTAACGATTTTTATTTTTCTACTTTTTTTCTTCTAGCGCCAACAATGGATACCATTGGCTTTGTCAATCTGACACCTGGAATCAGGGATCCAGCTGTCTTTGATGTACCATCTTTCTGTACACAGGTATTATTATAATTTACATAGTCATTGCCATTATAGTCTCGGTGTGTTGACGCTAATTATATACCTTTTTTGCGCTTAATCCATGCTAAAATTTGCCCAAATTGACCATTTAAAATTTAATTAAGAACAAAATAATACAAATATGAACAGAAATACCCGCATTGGAATTTTTCAGATTAAAAAGGGGTCCATCAAAAGACTTTAACGAAAAATGACGATCAGCGACTTTAAATAAAGTAGATGTTCATCAAGTATCCTCCTTTTTAAGAAAAAAATGACTAGAACAGCCATGATTTGTGAAACACTGGTCCATTTTACTTACATCTGATGTGTTTAATCAGATCCTATTTTACGTGCCTTGGAGCACGTCCTTGCTCTGGTGAGCGAAAACCGTGCACTCAGAAAGTTTCAATTTCGGCAACAAGGCGCGCCAGGCATCACTGAAGAGAGGCCCACCATTGTACCAAATCAATATATATACCAAGGGGGGATCTACTGGGAGCGCACCCGACGCCCCGCCCCCCCCCCCTATTTTGGTACATAATAACACAAGATGGTCATTTTCTGCTTAGAGTAGGCAGAGGTAAGCAATTTGATTGGTTGATGGTTTGGTACACGATAACTTTAGTTCTAATTAAGTAAGAGCGATGAAACTTGGTGTATTGTTTCATTACATCAATACCTTGACAAAGTTCGATAATGAACATTTGATTGGTCGAGACTTTGGAGCACAACTTTGGTTAGAATTAAAATATCCACGGTCTGAGTTTAGCATCCTTTACAACTCAGACCTAATGGGTTAAATACTACATTTTCTCTCTATCCCAGCCTCTCTGCCGAGGTGGCCGTGGGTATAATGTTCCTCTGAGCTCCAAATGATGTCCAAGACTATAGATCAAACCAGCTCTCATATATAGAAAGTAAAATGATATCTGTATCCCTGGCATCTTAGGCGAGGAGGCTGTGGGTATGACGTTCCCCTGAGCTCCAAATGATGTCTGAGAGTAGATCAAACCAGCTCTCCTATATAGAAAATAAAATGCGTCATCTATTAGGGCGGGACAATTACCATTTTTGGTAAGTGTTTCTTATAGGCACTGTTTCTAGTTAATTGTACTAATCCGTGCACGAGATGACTGGACTGTAGTACCCTACTTTACAGAAATGGATACTCACATAACTGTTGGTGAGTTAGTCTAAGTTAAAATACAGATGTGACGTCATCCTTTGATGATGGAGTACCATTATTTCAAATAATCGCACGGGCAATGTGCCAAGCGTAACTTGGTAAAATAATGAACTCGAGTGACGTATTTCATTGCAAAGCACGTGCAAGTGTCTGTATTTTAAGTTGTTTAATGGTCTCGAGCTTAAGACATTGCGTAATATATTGTAAAAACATTCGGGCCTCACGGCCCTCATGTTGTTACCATATATTACTTAATGTCTCGCTCTCGACCATTAAACAATACATAGTAGTAGAATAATGCAAGCTACCTCATTACCCTAGTTTTCGTCACACATCATGTAGGTAACGAATTTCTATATTAAACAGAACAGCTTTCTTAGAACTAAAATAACCCTCATAGTATTACATCCGATTGGCTAATAAAAATGGTTCGCCCGAAAATATACGCTGGACACGGGCGACAGAACGAATTTGATCGCCGGCGAAAAATATTCTGCTGAAAATATCTAACATGCTAGATATGAGCGATTGATCGGGCAAATGTTTCGCCGAGTAGAATCGTGGTCGTTGTGAAGGGGCACACGAGTGATTTTTTCGAGCTATTTTAAAAATCGGTGCGATTGGACGAAAGTATACGATCGTCTGTCCCCCACAAAGTTTGATGCTGGGCATTTTCTGCGTTGGCAAAGTAGAGACTTCAATCTTATTGGACAGAATATCTAAGCAGAGACAATAAATTTGATTGGTTGAGACTTTGGAACACGATAACTTTGGTTCTAATTAAGCGGGGGCGATGAAGTTCCGGGTATAGATTCATTATAATCCTTTGACTAAGTTCTATGATGGGAATATTCTGTTTAGGCTAAGTAGCGATAAGAAATTCGATTAGTCAAGAATTTGGAACATAATTGAGGTAGAATGTTTAAACTTGATGTAGATGTTTATAGTTGAACGTCTTGACTGAGTTCATTTCCCGCTAAAACTAACCAGAGCTAAGCAATTTCATTGGTTAATGCTTTGGTTCAAGATAACTTTGATTATTACTAAAGACGCCGTAAGGCCGAAAGATCTTGGCAAATATGTAAATGTAATTAAAAAATAGATTTTTCCATCCAAATCTTAGTATTATTTGGTATATAATTTTATCTAATTGCAGAAAAAGCCAACTGGATTTGTCAAAATTCATCAGAAAAGAGGCGTTCTAGTATTTTAATACAGCTGAAGAATACAAACCTTTGTTAGTTATATGACGGAACTCCCCAATAAATACTTACTGGTCTGTTTTGAATGTTTATCATTAGTGTATGTGTCGATTTACTAAAGTAATACATTTTGGCAGCATCTGTTTTAATTTTCAGGCTCAGCAACTTATTAAATATGAACATAGTTATACGAAGAGCATAATATAGTGTTTTTGCAAGGTTACAGCCTTATTGTCATTATATTGCCTTGGTCTCTGGACATATAGCAAGTTTAACCGTACTTAGGCATATTCCTGATTGAACAGTTTATGTTTTGCGAGCGTGAAAATATTATACAAATTTGGGGTTTTGAAAAGCCTTAGATTTATGCCGCGAATCCTAATAGTAAGTTACTGGGGAAATCAGACCCTATATTTGTTTGAATATTAAATTATTTGAAATAATGCATTACACTGCAAATTGGTCGAGGGAAGTGAATGAGAAGAGTCGGAAGTGGAAACCCCCTAACCCCTAAATATAATTGAAGTGGTGGGGGCTAGTGTGACTGTAGTGGGGCAGTCAGGGCATCCAGCAACCTCATGTCGAAACATAACATTAAATTAGAATGTGAGTATCACTGGTTCCGGAGGCAGACCACCATTAATTTCCCCATTGACTTCAATGTTAATTCTGACCTCTTTGCCCACCTCCAACTTTTCCCCAAATTTTCGTTGGGCTGAATGCTTTTCACTATAGACAGAGAACAAATGGTCATGTCTTTGCACTAAACTTTTTATGAGGTTGACCACCAAAATTTTGAGATACACAAACTTGAAGAAGCATACTAAAAACATGTAAATAGTTGCCGTACATATCACCGTCGCCAACCTGATAACCCCGTTATCCTGCAGCCTCAAAATCATGAATATTTACCAAAACCTGGCAGAAAATGTTAATTTAAACCGTCTTCGTCCATTCTAAACCAAAAAAATCAACAAAAATAAGCATACAAAATGGGAGAAAAGAGACAGAAAAAGGAATGCTATAAATAGGCGAACTACACCGAGATGGTGAAATTTAATGGTGGTCTGCCTCCCTCTGTGTCAAAGTGGAGTTACGCCCCTTGGCACTTGTATTACTCAGCGATCGATCCACGTCCCTTACCTTATCGCTTTACAAAGATACTGCCAGCAAAGGATATGCGGGGGTAGAGGGCACAGATACATTTTTTTATTGCCACCAGTTTGATGTCGGTTATGGTGTACAGATATTTATTTTGGGTGGTCAGTGCCCCCAAATTATTTTCGGATGAACACAAACTTTCTTGTGATTTCCATTTTCAGTGGTGTAGGGAGGGGGCTTGTGAGAGACTGTCACTTCTGTTTCTAATGATCCTAGGAAGTTGACATTCTGCATGAAATTGACATGCATTGAAGACTTTTGTATCAAATGTGAGGCGCCTACATTAGAAAAAACTATTATAGCAATTGCTAATAGTAGTAATAGAGCCGCCCGTTTCAAATTCCAGTTTTCAGATCCACCCAGCCATTTACAACCACTGATAACAAAATATATCTTAAAATTGATCTTACTAATAGTCTTATAAATCTTTTATTTGGTTAAAATCAAAAACTTGTGTTCCAAATGTCAATTGTTACAGTAAAAAATCACAGAATTTCACACTCAACCACGTTATTCCTTTTAGAGGCCAAATGCATTTATCACCCAATAATACATTCTACAGTAGATATCGCTTGTGTAGTAACGAAATGAAATGGGGTTTAACGTCCTACTGTTCTGCTCCGACTGGGCTAATGACGACAGGAACAGTAACGAGCTCTGGGACGTTGAATATTATAAACATTAGAAACAACAAACGTGGGAACGTGTTTATCAAATTCGTTACACTCGGCCTATTTCTACCCGAAGGCCTACATCAACCTGTAAGATGTGCTGCCAAGTTATGTCTTTAAAGAAAACTATATGTAAAAAATATAATAATAGTAATTTTAGGTTCGGGAAATCAATCATTGTGTTACATATGTGTGCCTTCTATAAGAGGATGTATTTTATCCTTTTCTTCCTGGTCAGATTGGATGTAATCTTTTGTATAGCGGAAAGTTATAGCAGTACACATCATACATCCATAACAATTAATCGTTGAACGTAGACGATCACTGAAAAACAAAATTAACCGTTTAAAGAACGATTTCGGAGATGTGAAAATTTGTATTTAGTACCGTAATTCAGAAGTGTTGACGTGAAGTGACATCTTTCTGTCGGCAGGGGTGAGCTGCGGGGTTATTGTACAACTAGTTGATAACATTGGGATTCTGAATGTCAAGACCTGCACACAGCAAGGATTAAATGTCATCGAAAGCCCGATTTCTCCCTAGTGACAACATGTCGGACAGACTACACAGATTTTCCATCACAGATGTGGTGTCGCTGTCGGGAAATGTTCTATGCATGGGAATTCTCCAATTCTCCGTTACAATTAGTTGTTTATCACCCTCTATAGTGGCATCAACATAATTCTTAACAACCCATCTCCGCTATGAAAGTGTGCGTTTGCAAATACATTCGGCAACGCCTTTGGTTTGTTTGTCAGAAGTACACCCAGAGCTGACCTAACCTTGTTCCGAATCATCACATTACTATAACTTTGATATATGTAGACATGACAATCCAGGCACTTAGTGATAGCATAAAATTGTGTGACTTATCGCCGACCACAATATTATGTTAACCGAACGTTTTTATTTCTTTAATACAATCCTACTGTGCAATAGATCTAAGCAATAGACTGACAATTATATCCCCAATTTGGCACACAGTCCAATCTGAGGAGCTGCTACAGTACAATCTGAACAGCAGCTACATATGTATTTTCTGACCTACAGGGTGAGATTTGATATATGAATGTAGTGGGGTAATTATAAATAGACGTTGTCAACTATTTCCACATGAGCGAGGATTTAAATCTTCATTTATTTGGTTAAGGTATTTAAAAAAACAAAATTAAATACGTACGTGAACCATTCAAGGGCCATGATTAAACCTATATTGGCAGGAGGCACACCCAATGAAGACATTATAATGATCAGTGTAACAATACTAGCACTTGGAATTGCTGGAATAGCTAATGAACCAACAAACGCTAAAATCCTGTAAAACATGGTAACAATGTTGGTATGCAAATTATTGTTTAAAATAACCCTCTCTCCTTCGTTGAGTAAAATTTCTACTGGTTTTACAAGGGGTGGACCGAGAAGCTGCGGGTAGACTTAGGGGGGGGGGGGATTATTTGTCTCAAATATGAATCATTTTGGTAAAATTGACACACCGGACAAATTCTGCTGGGGGTGGGGGGGGGCTACACTACGCATAAACAAAACCGTTAAGGCAACCTGCGGACAAGACACAAATAAGTGAATGAATTCGGGGTGGGGCGAGGGCGGGGGTCATCTGTATGGCGTTTCTTAGTGGCGATTCTTAGTGGTGATAGTCTGTATGACGTTTCTTAGTGGCGATAATCTTCCAGTTGAAGTCATCAGAATATCAAAAAAAATAACAATAATAAGAGCGATAAACTGGATAGAAATTCGGAAAAACGCTAGAAGTTAATAAGTATAGAGAACAAACAATCATGAGCAAAGAGCAACAACGAAAACTCTGCTCTGATAGTAAGTGCAGGAGGACCGCACTAAACCACTTACAGTAATTTTTTCAAAACACATTCTCACTCCCTAAGATGCCTTTCACGAGACCATTCTCAGGGGAATCCACTCCAGTCAGTTCCGGAATTTTAAATTGTGTCTTAATCTTAAATGTCATAATACAATTTTAAATAACTTACCCAACCATAATCACATTGCCGGTATGAAGATTCCCCGTGATTTCACAAATATATATTGACGTCACACAAATAAAGAGGGCACTACCATCTCGATTCAGTGCAGCAGCTAATGGAAGAACAAATCGGGAAACTTTCGGGTCAACTTTGTTTTTGTTTTCAACACACTTTATCATTTCAGGAATAGCAATGGCCCTGAAAATATATAATTATTTATACCAGTGGAGAGCAAAGGTGGAAGGTGGCCAAAGCTGGGTAGTATTGGAACTAATAAGGTAACAAAGTGTATAATTAAAACGTTGTTTTTTGTATATTGGCTTCGTTTTCTGTACGTTTGTTTACAAATTGGATAGCAGCATTTTATAGATAATAGCAGCGGTTATAAACTTTATATTATAATCATTAGCTTTACTGATAAACAGGGTATAAAGGACAACGATTATTATTCGATTGGGCTTTAGAAGCTATTATAATAGTAAGTGCAGGGGGGCTGCACCACACAAAATTTACACAAAAACAAATACACGGACAGGACATCATACTCAGGAAAACACAAACATACAGACAATTCAAAAAAAGTGAATGGATCCGGGGGCTAGCCGTAAGCGTCCACTGCGCTGTACAGTTCCGGGTCTGTAGTGACACAGACTTCACTCAAAATTGAAAACAATTAGGAATACAACCCAAAGAACCCATTGTGTAATGCCAGCATGAGTCATGATCTGCTATATGCTACACGAAATACGAATGTAAGCATATGTAGTAAAATTCAACTATACAAGTTATAATAATTACTTTGAATAAGCTGCATATTAATGGAACCATATCATAACAATCCTAGTTCAGCTTCATGAAATATGTGCCGACATAAAATGTTAACGTAGCCTACACAAGCTGTACGCATCAAATATTTTAAGTATACGGGCAAGTTCCTTCGGTCAGTATCACCATGAGCTGAAGTGTTAGATAGTCATTTTATGACACAAAGTATTTCTTGAAACACACACAGACCCAATGGCATACTTAGGGAACTGCTCATTTGCTAGGTAATTTCAACCCTAAATTGAAAGAAGAGGAGAAATAGAATTAATGAATAGAATTAAACTTACGTGCTTAATGCCACAAATGCAGTCATTATTGCTTTAACTGCCGTCAGATGGAATCTATAGGGGTTCTTTCTTACGGTAATGAAGTACATTAAGGGCATGAACATAAATTCGTAGACAAATACAGCAACAGTCAGTGTAAGCAGGAACATTCCTAAACTGGTAAAACTGGTAACAATGCTACTTGCCTTGGCTATAGCATGAGCTATTAAACTAGCGACACCAAGAGGCGTGTACCTAAAAGCAAGTACATGTATAATATATGTATTTTTTAAAAAATACAACAACAATTACATACTTATGTTGTTGGGTTATTTTTTTTTGGGGGGGGGGGGGGTTGTTGTTGGGGGGTTTTTTGTTGTTTTTTTTTGTTTGTTTGGGTTTTTGGTTTTTTTTTCTTCAAATTTGAGAAATAGATAAATGCCGAAGTCCATCTATGCAGGACGCTCCATATGGTCTTGTTGTCAACCAATAAAAACTATGTTGACTGGTGAATTAATAATTCTTATTAACCATAATTAATACAGCTCGGGAGTATTAATTAACACACTTTATTACAAAGAATAAATATCTCGAATCCTGTTTTTTTAAAATATAATATACATGTATCTTACCAAATTATCCACCCTAAAACTAAACTGATCACCGTTTCAGTTGCTTTAAAGAATTTGATAAAAGGTTCTGTAGTTTGTTTATTTCTACCTGCCGCCATACCAAACAGCGCACATAAGATAATTAAACCTAAAACAAAAAGTCGGACATAATCTACCTGTCGCCACACCAAACAGCGCACATAAGATAGTTAAACCTAAAACAAAAAGTCACACAAATTTGTCCTTGTTTTTGTGAAGACACGTTAGAAAGTTAAAGGGGAGAGAGAGAGAGAAATGGGGTTTAACGTCCACTCGACACAAACTAGGTCATTTCGGGACTAACATATGGTTTAATTTTATTTCAATAATCCGCATGCGCAAAGGGGTCTTTAGCAGTGGGAGGAAACCGGAGGACCCGGAGAAAACCCACGAGGTTGGACAGGCGACCCTACTCCTTGTCACGTACAACCGGGGATTCGAAACCACGCCAGTCGACTCAATGACAGACTTTATACAGCGCGCGCACGCTAACCACTCAGCCATCCAACGTTAGAAAGGACAATGAACAACCGAAGGTCATTCAAGACAGAACAACCGATTTATATGACCGCCCATCCTGGGGATATGTTTTTTACTCATATTTTCATTACAAAGCGTGATGCTTTTCGCAGTTAAGCACATTTTAACTGGGTCAATTCAACGGAATTTTCACGAATTCTAATTATCTGCCCATGAAGAATTCTTAAAAGACATTAGTTTTAAAAAGACATTAGTTTTTGATTGAACTTTTGTTTTGATTAATATTAGTAAGTCCTTTTTAGTTTTGTTACATTTTAAATATCATTTGCAATAAATATTGGATATTTGTTTTAATTTTAAACACTCCAACTGTGCTATTTATGTATCTGTGAATATAATTATCTGTGATCTATATGTATCATATAATTTAGCCTGTCTCATATATTTCACCATGGGGGATCACGTGGCTAAGTGGGTAAGACGCTGGCTCGCTAGCCTGGAGGTCGAGTGTTCGATCTCTGCATTAGCCGAGAAAGTCCACCCAGATTTTCCGGCGTGGTTTCCCCTTGTCAGTGATGTAGGATGGAGGGCCTGACAAGGACAGCTGTCTAGTCGTTCGGATGGGACGAAAACCGAGGTCCCGTGTACACATTGGCGTGCACGTAAAAGATCCCTTGGCAGTTGGAATTCGATATAAGAGTAGGCCGTAGCGCCGCTGCCCGGGCAAACTTTCCCTCATAGCACACTGCATGGCGTATGCCCATCTTCATTAGCCCAGGTTAGGAGCAGAACAGTAGGACGTTAAACCCCATTTCATTTCATTTATATTTCACCATGTAGGGTGCCCCATGCAGCGAAAATTTTCCCTACTGAAAGTTGAACTCGATACCGCGAATGTGCACGCTTCAGTGGCTTGTCTTGAAGTGATTTCTGGCTAGTCACACAGTGCGATAACGCTCAGCGCAGGAGTCTATGAATCTTTAAATAGCCATCGCACGCGAAATTCTCTACACATCTATCAACTATTACAGCCGTAAAAAATATATTGTTGACGATTCTGAATAGCAGTAATATTTAGCTTTTTGGGTTATTACTGCAGCTTTAGAAATTACGTTCATTTTATTTTTTAAATTGCTTTATCATTAACTATACCGTTTAGTCCAAATAATATCTCTTAAACACTCGGGTTACGCAAGAACATGATGCTAGCAGTAGTTTCAATTTGCTTTTACAAGGTTCTTAAAACAATTATTGTTGAGTTGCCTAAAGTGCGTGTTTCTAAATTCAATTTCTTGCACCAGCTTTCTGTTATGTTTCGTAAAAAATGTAATCTTGATATTCCGGCCTGTCAATCAGGCGGAGAATGGTCAGTAGACTGGTTAAGCGAGACTAATTTCAAGACAAGGGCACGGAACCTATTTTTTACTCAAAAGTGCCCGGATGTTTTGGCCGACACTCGTAATCATTTTTCAGTCTATTATTTATCGATGGTTAAAGGGTCATAGCTTATTAAGTACAACATGACCGTTTATTTAGTGACTATAAATGTGGGAAACCGATTTAAGGCTTAAGATAAATATAAATATTGCGGTGTAATTGTCGAGATATTTGGAGATATTTATTTATGGTGGTGCATCCTGCCATATGTTTGGCGCAATATATACCATTTCAAACAGTCATGAATCAAACTTACCAAGAATGTTTGTGCCCTGTATAGTACCAACACTTTTAGTATAAACTTCGGTGGTTGTATTAACCAGTATACCAGATACATTCTCAACACCTGGTAATTGTTTAATTTTATACTTAGTCTGAGATTTCTGAAACGTAGATCCAACAATATTGTCCGGAAATAAATTCCTGAAAAATTGACAGAAAAGAAAATCATTTAACAAATTTGCTACTTACTTTAAATTTATCTGACATAAGTGGTATACAATTCAAAACAATTTAGAAATGGAACAATAATAACATTAAAGGCACAGTTAGGTTGTCGTTTAAATATAGCGTAGGGTCCAGTGCTGGGAAAGCCCCGAGAAAATTTTAAAAATATAGATTCAATTTGGTTCATTCTGAGGTAGGGTCTACATATTCTGGGTAACTCAAGTTAAATAAAGTGGAAGTATAGAGAGAGAGAGAGAGAGAGAGAGGGTAACGTCCACTTGACACAAACCAGGTCATTTCGAGACTAACACGCAGTTCAATTTTATTTCAATAATTCGCTTGTGCGTAGGGGGCTTTAGCAGTTGGAGGAAACCGGAGGACCCGGAGAAAACCCGCGAGGTCGGACAGGCGACCTTACGGGGAATCGAAACCACGCGCTAACAATTTGGCCATCCACCCCCCCTTAGAAGTACTGAACACACTCTTTGTGTTAGAACATGAGTTTCAAACTTAAGTCAAGACACGAATCCCCGCCAGTCCATTTTAAAGACATGGGGTCCTTTTTGATGTATAAGAGGCCCTATCGAGTGTTACAGTCAATAGTTAAAATGGGATCCCAGATAATAACATTCATATTTTCAAATCTAAATTAGAATAGTTTGGTCATCCAATAGAACTTTTAATCTTATATTCAACTGGAGACCTTGTCCCACGTTGTCATTGCGTCCCACGTTGCCTTTGCCTCCCATGGATCCGGTACTTGTGACAAGTGTAAACCCGTATCGTGATTACTGGAAATATTATGTAATGATGCATCCGGAGAATTAGGGACAGTGCAGGAATAACAGAATGATAATTCTGGGTTTTTTTCAATATTTTCTTCATATCTACTTGCTTTTTTTGAAAATTTTACTAGATAATGCTACCAAAAACATGAATTGTATAAAATAAATTAAACACATGTCTTTCATATACTTTCCAGTACAGTTTCTCTAATTACCTGATTAAATCAGCAAATATGTCTTCTGTCTGTAAGTTTTGTGTATCTGGTTGAACTGAATCATCAACAACCGACTGCCCAGAACCTATAATGTAAAGCAGTATGTATATTAATCTTTAATATGTATGTCGGAATCTGGCTTTTGAGGTGAATTCTGTGAATTTTAAAACCCAAGAATACGATCTGGTGGGGATCGAGTATGACTGGTTGATATACATGTACCAAGATCTGTCAGTGACAGAACACGGTGTTGACAGAACGTTGTTTAATTATGGTGTAAACAGCAAAAAAAAAACAAATCGAAAGATTGGATAAAGGGACCAAATAAAAGAAATCACAAGTATTCGGTTCTATAATTGGGAACAAGTCCAGCTAAAGGTTGACTATTTACCACCATTTTTATAGTAAGGTATCATTATGGTGGGAATCACCGTGGAGCTGGCTTCACTAACAAGAACATCGATGGGAACTAGATACTTGTTGGCTTATACCTTTGAATTCGATTAAGGGTAGATAACCTACATAGCGTGTCTCCGTCTCCATCAGCAGGTTTGGCAGAGAAGACGTTTCATTATTATAGGGATATAAAGAACACAAAACTACCTGGTTTTATAATCACAGCAAATATCAAACCAAATAAAGAACCAAACCCATTAGTAAGAATAATGTAGCCCAACGCTATAGCACTTATTCTACCATTGGCTTTAGGGTCTACAGATGCGGCACCTGAAGATAAAGAGAAATTCATGTTTAATTTTGTGTGATAAAATAATAATTAAGTGAATAAAATGAAAGTTAAATTTTAAATGACGATGAGTAGTTTCTAACACAATAAAAACAAAAGAGTGGCATTTGAACCTTGGTACTGAAACCTCGTAAGACTGGGTGTTTTGAATTTGCCCTATCAATAGCTGCCAATTAATATGGTCACACCTTCTCTACTTATGAGGCAGTTTTTTCGTCACTGGCTCTTGGTCTATTAGTGATTACAGTCAAAATCCAGATACCCACGACTACATATTTTCAAGACACATTCGAGCAGAGGGCCAACAGGCCTATAGTCATTATGCGTACATCTTTTTCGATTATACAATTATTATGCTATTCAATATGTGCTGTCAAAATGACCATAGTTGCCGTTTAATCTAGAAAGATAGACTTTTTTCTGCACAGTTAGCGTAAGTTAACCTACCTACAATGACACTGCTTATAATTAGAGGTAATATTGTAGCTGTTAATATTCTCATGTATAGTTCACCTGGTAATCCTAAAAAATAAATTAGTATAGTGGTTTTTAGAAGAATAGACTAGAAAGATTCTTGTCCTGTGATTTTGAATCTGTATACCGCCACACCTTTAAGTGTTAGTAAATTGACCATCCACAGTGTCCTGCGTCAATAAGCTAGGGATATGTGTACGACGATATCCCAACCATTGATGTTTATGAATGGCAATGCTTGTTAAAAGGAATATATCTTTTGGAAGTAGTTTATGTAGATTCGGGTAGTCTTCGGTTCTTTTGCTACTTAGGTAGTGATAATGACGTATCAATATCATCCTCGTGGAAGCCCACATCTTAAAATATTTTGGAAACTACCTAGTGCTCACAACGGTACGTGTATATTTCCAAAATGGATGGCCAGGTTATTGGGCGAAGGATGTCTTGCTACGGCATTGTTGCTTACGAAAGTATGTGAAATGTTTAGATTTGCCTACGTATGGTAAATACGAGTTATCATTAAAACCACATTCACCCTCGAGTAGGACTAAGTCACCCGGCCAAGGTGTTAGACTATCGTATTAGACATTACCCAAACATTAAATTATTAATCACACGATGTATGGATGGTAAGGCTCACAACCTGGATTTGTTGAGCACGCGGCGACTTACGTAAGCATCATGTAACCGCTTTGAGTTGTTTTTTCCGCGAGGACCATGGTTTAAGTAAACGTATATTAACCCTTGCATGACACCACATCTATGTGTTCTTGAAACAGCCTATATAAATCGGCTTATCTACACTGGATGTTTGTATGATTGTTGTCAACCAGCCCATGATTATGTATCCTGAATTACTGAATATAAGAATAAAATCCCTCCTAAACATGCATTATGTAAGATTTAGATAATGAGCTGACCGTTCTTACTATAATAGTTCAAAAATAGATAATGGCTAGAGCTATGAGTACACAGAATATAATATCCTCATTTTGATATTTTTTTAGAAAATATCTGTCATCGATAAGATATTAAAACAAATAAAATTGAATTAATACAAACCAAACCTTGAGACCATCTTATAATAATTAATCTTCAAAGGCCAAATACTTTGATTTGTATATGCACTTACCTATCCATAAGAGTGCAGAGTCGGATAGTTGAAGACCGTTTAATGCAAACCCGGCTATAAATCCTACGGACACTCCAAATATGGTCAGTAAAGTTAACAGTTTGTTTTTGCTCCTTGAAAACGATTTTAGTCTTGAAATGATTCCCTCAAGTTTCCTGTCTTCGGCAATTTCAGGCATGACATTGTTCATTGTTGTCACTTCACGCAGATCGCAAGCCATTTTGTTACAAATACGTACTGGATATACATATATATATATATATATATATATATATATATATATATATATATATTAATGCTGTGACACGGAGTAGATCAGCATGATATATTAAACACATGTGCATTTAAAGTAACGATGCGTCATATGCATTCTTCGCTAAAAAAATCAAATTTCCTACGGCTGATATTATGTATTATATACTCAGATTGATTATCTTGCATTTAATTAAGAAAACAAAATCAAAACAGCAACGCTAGATAACCTCCCGGGTTGGGTTCAGTCGGATCAGACTTAAAATAGAGAGAGAGAAAGAGAAATGGGTTTAACGTCCACTCGACACAAACTAGGTCATTTCGAGACAAACATGATGCAACGCGCACACGCTAACCATTCAGCCACCCCCCCCCCCCCCAATATAAAGAGACTTGTCGAGCATTACATTATATATGTATACATTAAAATTAATGATAGACCTCAATGATAGACCTACTGATCCAAAGCACACGCGTTAACAATTCGGCCACCCAACCCGACAGACTTAAAATAGGTCCATCAATAACTGTTCGCGGTCCACAAAATGGCTCCGAGCTTATTATATTGGTGATCAGCATACACCGATGGCATTTCAATTCAACATATTGTAAATTCTGAACGGAATTGAACCATTTTTGGACTGCTATTCCCATAAGATATTCAGCGTTCACAATATAGGCTAATGGAAAAAACGATGACTTTCAAAATCTTTGGTGCAACAGAGACTTTGTAAATATAAACGTTACTAGTAATTTACTTTAAGTGAGATAATGTAAGAATACCATTTACATTAATGACCCAAACAGACACAGCATTTTAATACTGGCCCAGAAAGTATAATATATACACTGGCAAGGCTTTAGCTTTAATAACGTTGAGGCGTCAATGACGCCATTTTGATATAGGGTCATTTCCCCGAATGAACTTTCTAGCTATTTTACTTTTAGAGAGAGGGGGGGGGGGGTGGGGTTTAACATCCAGTCAACACAACCTAGTTCATTTCAGGACTAGCATATGGGTCAGATTTGTTTTTCAATAGTTCGCGTAGGAGCCTTCAGCAGTGGGGGTGGGGGGCCGGAAGACCCAGAGAAAACTCACTGGGTTGAACAGGCGCCCCTATTCCTTGTTACGTCCAAGGGAGTGAACACCATGCCACTTGACTCAATGGCGGACCATGTGATCTAAACCGCACGCGCTAAACCATTCGCCCCCCGCCCCCACTTAGTTTACTTTTAACTCAAAATTCAGATTCTAACAGCATGCTTAACTTATTTACCAGACGGTTTACAGTGTTTTAATAGTGACAACTCTAACCAGGTTAGTTTATCGGGATGAACCGTAACCACACGCCCTTGGTTATACGTAATTCTTATATTTCCTTCCGCAATCAACAGAACTCGTGAACAACGGACCTGGAGCGGTTTCGCAAGTTCATTAAAGTTTCTTAGTTTGCCCAATCTGTTGCTACATGTGTCCAGGTTTGTACTTTCTAGTGGCCATCTTATACATATAGGATCATTCCGAAACACGACTGCGTTCAATGCCCGTGGTGTAACCCTACGTCTGCAGCCCATCAAATTAAACTGGAATTTTGTCTTCAGGTCCTCGGGATTACGTGTTCAACACCTGACGGTGACATGATTATCAGCTCCCCCATTTTCATAGAAGATACTGTCAGACTTTTCCTATTTTTTGACAAAGGTTGCTATATCATCTGCAAAAACCAAGAAGTACACAAGTGCGTTCCGGTTTATTGTCCGATCCGAGAAACTAGAGCGCTTTTCCTTATATTACTAGACACTCTTTGCGAAATTCCGAGGACATTTCTCGGTCAACACTGGGCTCATATCAGCGAAAGGATTAGTAGTGACGGTAAAACCCACCTCCATCAACACGCTGGGATATATGTGGTCGATCACATTGCAGATTGTTTCATTTTGGGTTAGGATTAAGCTGGACATTTTAGCAGAAATGACATAATGCTGTTAATATAAATTCGCAAATTAATCGATACTCGGTCTCGTTTCTCCATTTTTATGTGGAAGTATATTGTCGTCGCTCTGCCCGTTCGTCCGTTCACAATTAAAATATATACTTATATCCCAAAGATCTCAATTCCTTTCGATATTCGCGCATATCGGACCTTAACTTCCTAAATAATAGCTCCTGATCAATTCATTTTGATATTGACGCACGTCGGACCGTAACATCCTGGATTAAGGCCCCTTATTGTACGAAAATCGCCTTTTTTGGCTTGTTCTCTGTCTACCTCTTGCAAAATGCGGTGGTATTTTGCATGACAACCGCATGCTAAAGTAACTCATTAAATGGCGATCGTATTTCAATCCGTTTACACCTCCGGCATCCGATGATCTAAAGAGTTAATTACAGACTTGACGTGTCAATAAAATGTCTAAAACATAATTTATATAACATTTGAAGCCAAAATAAAAACCTGCAACAGGCAGATTTAGCTCTTACATAATACATTTTAACAACAACATACGCTCACAACAGAGATACAACTGATTTTAACATAATTCATATTCAATTTACAAACTAAAATGGGTTCGTTGTGTACATACCTATCCATAAGAGCGCAGAGTCGGATAGTTGAAGGCCATTTAACACAAATCCAGCTGTAAATCCCACAGACACTCCAATTATTGTCAATAAAGTTAACAATTTGTTCTTGCTTTTAACGAACGATTTTAATCTAGAAATGACTCCATCAGGCTTTTTATCTTCCACAATTTCAACCTGGATATCTTTCACTGTTGTTACTTTACCGACTTCGCTTGCCATTTTGTTACAAATAGGTACTGGGTGTCTAGATTATATGTATATTAATGCCCCAAACACAGTGTTTGGTTAGCATACAGTATACATGTTATTATCTACATGTAAGTTATACAGTATCTGAAAGATATTGGTAAATATATACGTAATGTAAATATAAACTGTATACAACATTTGAAGACATAGTTATATATATTTCATACCATACATACACACGAAAAGTTTACCATCTTTTAACATAGTATTTCTTGAATAGATAAAGTGTGTGCATTGTTCTCGAAAGAACCAAACAATGGCGGACATTTTCAACCAGTGGTCGAATCTGACACCATGGTGAAATAATTGCACATTTGGCACAGTGATATGTTATGGCTTAGTGAACAATATTGGCTGTGAACCCGATCGAAATCCATCCCATAATTCTTATTAGAGTGCAGATCCCTGTTTTACCACTGGGATTCTAGCATAGAAACAAGGCTGAGGCAGAATATTTAAAAGTAGCTAAGTCTGTGGCCATGATCCTCTCCAAAATAACTCATCTGAATATTTGGAAACAGAATATGTTAAACGGTGTAGCCAATATCGCATTCATAAGGGTAACTCCGGAACTGACAGTCGCAGAACGCTGAATATCGATGACCTCAATGCTTCACACCAAATTTTGAAATATTTCCTTAATAAATATAGTCGCTATCACGTTCAGTAGGTTTCCGGTAAAGGGGTGGAATGTTTAATATCGAAAGGATTCTTCCTCTCGCGACCCCAATGCTTCACACTGAAGTTTTGAAGTCTTAGGCCAAGGGGGGGGGGGGGGGCGTGTCGTGTCTGTCACATGTTATGTTTCACACAAATTAGGCCTCTACTCGAGATAGAATGTTCAAACTCGTAGAATGTCTTGGCTGAGTTCAATACGGAGTACCTTCTGCTTTGGCCAAGCAACTGCCCATCTGTCTGTCCGTCACATATGGAAAACAACAACTATGTTTCTATTTGCGGTAGTGTGTTCAAACCTTATGAGTAAGTGGTTAATTTTTTTAGAGCTGTAAAGATGAGTGCATATTTCTAATACCCACCACTATTGACTACGTAAACAGAACCGATAGTGCTGCATATCATTTATTAGTCACGACCTTAACATCTTTGGTGACTACAGTCTGATCTACTTGTAATCCCAAGTCAAACAATCTTATGTTGACTGAATTTTTGAACAGACGTGTATATAGGTATTGCTCTTAAAAACGCGTTAATCATGCTTATGGATGGATTTGGCTCTCAAGAAATGGATATTTATTATTATTATTATTAACGAAAAATGACGACTGTGATGGACAGTTTCATTGGCAAAAGGCAATTTATTCAAAGGTGAACGATGTCAAAATTGCAGCGCTTCTAATTGGGTGCGAGTGAGGAACACCTTCCCTTACTGCCATGATAAGCATTTACTGCTCCAGCTAATCACATTGGATTTATCAATGCTTGAAAATCGGGATTGTGAAATGGTCGTGTATTTTAAATCTATTAAAACATACTAAATACAACATGTCTATAAAATATTTAGTAAATTCGGGAACTGGGAAATGCTTGTCATATTATGTATGGTGGCGTAACTATCGATCTATTTGGTGATTTAGTTTATCCTGGGTTCCCCAAGATACATAGTTAAAGCTACGATCTTATTCAAAGACAAGCCTAAACATAGCAGGTCCAAACAATCTGCGAAGCATCAACGTCACTATATTTATTCCGCGAAGCCGAGACGCTTTATCCGCGAAGTAAAAACGATCCGCGAAGCCTGTATTCTTCAACATGATTGGCTTCTACATAATGACGTCCATCTCAAGCGACTATATAAGTCCCGACCACTACTTTTATTAACATTCAAAATTGGTCAAAAACTAAAACTAAAGACAGTTTAAATAATTTAGAGTTACAATATTTAGAAGGTAACTATAGTTAATATACAAAAGAAATTGCTTTCTAAAGTAACTTTTGTGAAAATAATAAAATTAAATAGGTGTTTTTTTGTTTGGTTTTTCTTTTTTAATTTTATTTTGTTGTTTTTTTTTATAAAGTGATGAATCAATAATATTCCCATTGTATTGCAGATAAATATAATCAAACTTACAGTCAAGATGTTGCCTCCTGGTGGATTAATGGAGATTGTTTTCTCATTTGATACAACTGGTTCTATGTCAAGTTGTTTAAATCAGGTCAGAGGTCAAATACAAGACATGGTTCAACGTCTTCAATCAGATATACCGTCTATAAGAATGGCTGTATTTGCTCATGGTGATTATTGTGATAAATCTACATATGTAACTAAATATATAGATTTTACAACGGATGTTAACAAATTATGTGATTTTGTTAAAACAACGGGATCAACAGGAGGGGGTGATACTGATGAATGTTATGAACTTGTTTTAAGACAAGTAAGAGAAGATTTATCGTGGACTCCTGGTTCAAGAAGATCATTGGTAATTATTGGTGATGCTCCACCACATGAACCTAGCTATCCACAAAATACTCTTAATATAGACTGGAGAGACGAGGCTGATATCTTAGGAACTATGGTAATTTTAAATCACAATTTCGTTTTCTATTTTGTTTGGACATTTTCAAGCTAAATTATTTAATAAGTAGGCTACATTTATGTTGTGTTGATATTTGTCACTTTTTTAAAATTAAGATAATTAAAATCGCATAGTTTTTATTTTATATTGGATTGTTATTTGATATTTTATCTTTCATTTTTCAGGGAGTTAAGATTTACGCAACACAATGTCAAAATAGCTCTTCAGCTGAAAAGTTCTATAAAACTATAGCGCAAAAAACTGGTGGTCATCATCTGAAATTACAGGAATTTTCTAATATTTTTGATTTTCTGATGGCCGTAGCATACAGAGAACATGGCGATGAACTTTTTCAAGTAAGTTGAAATGAAAGTATTAAATGCATTTGTGTCCATGTTTTTTTTATGTAATAAAAGCGTTAATAAAATCGATAATCTTTTGCTATAATAATGCCAATACTAAATTTGTTTGTTATTTCAATTGTAGGTTTATGAAAAAGAAGTAAGAAGTCGGTGTGGGGCAGGTTTAAATAAAGATTTAAACGGACTATTTACAACGTTAAGAGATGGCTGTAGTGATTCCACGACTGGTGATACAGCAGTGACATCTACTTCCCTTCCAGCTAAAAAGAGAAAAGTTTTACCAGGAAAAACTCCTTCCGCTAAGAAGATTAAATTCAGCGGTATAACAAAAATAACATCAAAGCCATATACTAAAGCTACGTTATGTAAAGCCAGTCGAGCAATTAAAAAGGCAAAGGTGAGGTCATATTACGGAAAAACATTTTTGTATATTATTACATTTGGAAATAGTTGGTAATAATTATTTAATAATCGTTTGACATTATCTTATTTTTACATGAAATCATAAAATAATGTCATGAACCTGTCGTTTAATATAAATGTTCCATGTTTTCTTTACTTCAGAGAACAGTTAAGAAAGTCAAAGCAGCTTATCCACGTATAAGAAGAGAAATGATTGCCGAAAATCATTTTTATTTGAACGACAAGAAATGGTCACCATGGCAACAAGTAATATCCCATGATGCTGGTTTAAATAAAAATGGCGATTGGAAACAACAAGGTTCTTATTATAAAAAGAAAACAATATTTCAATTTGATGCAGAGACACCTTCTATGTATGAAGTCTCTGTTCAAGCTAAAAGAAGAAGCAAACGTTACGTAGTCTATAACAAAATGGCGCACAGAGTTTCCGGTAAATGGGAAAGACGTCTTTTTGCACAATCTGACATCAAAAAACAAGTTAATAAAATAGCTGATCGAGGTTACAATTTATATGTGAGAAGACTTCCATTAACCTCTGCAGCTTTAAAAAGAGACACTATAACGGCTTTACGTAGATACGATTATTCATGGAGAAAAATAAGAAATGTACGAAACAACCATCGTCAAGTAAATATCTCTTCAATAACCATATCTGATGATGTTTTATAAACTATTATTTGAAAACTTTTGTTTGTGCATCAACATTTTTGAGGTCAATTAGCTGTTTGTACGGATTAAACAGACACCGTATTTCTTGTGCATTTTACGTACTTAATAAGACTTAAAGTTGCAATGTTCCAATGCAATCCTGTAAACAATATTTAACAATGTGAAAAGTGAGTTTTGAATATTAGAACAAAACGTGTGAATTGTAAATAAAATCATCAGTAGTTTCGTAAACTGACAGTACATTGTAATCAGTTTGTGCTTTAAACATATTCTGACATTTTGTCAACATCATATAACACATCATACTATTCATTCATATCGTATATCATTCATATACTCACCTTGGTCTGTTATACATGTATTTTCAATTATTGTACATTATTCATAAAATCAAGTTGTGTTATACATGTTCACGGTTGGCGGCAACACTAGGGCTGTTCCGAGACTGAAATTCGGTGTATATTATGGGTAGCTCGGACATGGAAGTAACATGGGCTATGTGGCGTTGGAGTTATAGGCGCAACCTGTGCAGCGCCAGGTCATGCTCTAGTTATTTATAAAATCAAGTTGTTTTGTTATATTTTGAATAAAGTGTTATCTAGAATCTCACCCCTGTTATTTTTGCTCACTCTTTGCCTGTGAACATATCCGTAAATTGATTTTGCAGAAGAGATTACGGAAATGGCATATCTCCCAAGTATCGAGTTCACTCCGTTTAAATGTCGAATAGACACTTCATTTCAAGCAGCCTGTCATATGTACCTCTATATGGATTATTCCGAACAATACGATAACAATAAATTCTTGTGATTAATTTGTACAGAGAGGGGTTTTTAGCAGTGGGGGGACACCGGAGGACCCGGAAAAACCCACAAGGTTGGACAGGCAAAATTTGTACACAGCTATAAAGAGACAGAGAGGGCGAAAGAAATGGGGTTTAACGTTCACTCGACACAAACTGGATCATTCGGGACTAACACATGGTTTAATTTTATTTCAATAATTCGTTTGTTCGTAGGGGTCTTTAGCAATGTGTGTGTGTGGGTGGGTGAAAACCCACGAGGTTTGAAAGGCGACCAGGCCAGTTGACTCAGTGACAGACGCGCAATCGCGAACCATTCAGCCACTAACCCCCACTATAAAGAGACTAGAGAGATACTAGATGATCGTGACAAAACTCGGTACTTTTATTTTATTCAATCAGTATCAAATAATGTGTCGTTACGCGTGAAAACAATGATCAGGTTAGTCGTTAGTCGTTTAATAAAACAAAAGATTAATTAACAGATAATCCCGGGTTGATTGTTATGTTTACATTTCTTTTTACCTGATAAGTGGGGGTCCAGTTAATTAACTACTACTCACGGGATTAGCGGGGGTGTTACAAAGAACGACAAGATGCTATCATTCAACAATGGCCGTTGAATGGGCGATGTTTTGTTGAATTTATTAGTAAAATAGTGACCGCTGGCCGCGTTAGAGGAGTGACCGTTGAATAAAGAGATAAAACAACAGAATTTCTACGGGGGGAATTTATCGTGACCGCTTACAAGGAGATGTCGCTGAATAGGAGTGGCTGCTCATACAGATTCTACTGTATATGTATATATTAAAATTAATATAAATCTAACAATAAAACGTTCCTGAAACATATCTTAAAATTACGAAATTCCTAAGCGCCTTCGTTAGTTCCCTGCGAAATTTGTACACAGTTTGGGAGTTATATTAATTTGGATAAATTATTCAATTGATGCTAAGGTTTTCCCAAGTTTGGTTCCAACGAGATTCCCTTGGTGTTAATTTGCACCTCGAAGCGTTTATCTGTTGATTTCTACCCCGCAAATTGTATTCTCTGCGAGCTTACCCTAAGCGCAACGATCGTGAGATAGAGAGAGAGAAATGGGGTTTAACGTCATTTCGGGACTAACATATGGTTTAATTTTATTTCAATTATTCGCTTGCGCGTAGGGGTCTTCAGCAGTGGGAGGACAGGCGACCCTACTCCTTGTCACGTACAACCGGGGATTCGAAACCACACCAGTTGACTCAATGACAGGCCGTATGATGCAGCACGCACGTGCTAACCATTCGGCCATCCAACCCACCTTGCAACAATCGTACGAACGAAAGAGGATTTATCATTTTCTTTGTCAGCGGCGCATGACGGGGCCTGACAAGGACATCTGTCAAGTAGTTCGGATGAGAAGCAAAACCGAGGCCCCGTGTACGCACTGGCTTTGCACTTAAAAAAAACACCTTGACAGCTTGAATTCGCTATAAGAGTAGGCCGTAGCGCCGCTGTCTGGGCAAAATTTCACCCATAATAAACCTAATGCACGCGAAAGTATACTGGATCTAAACCCCTCAGTAAAATTAGTAATTGTTGAAAACTATGCTAATCAAATTTAATGTAAAGCCGTCATTATTTAACCACATAAAATTTGAAATATTATTTACTGTGGATGAGCAAACTTCTGGGATTAAGAAACATTGGTGGTCTGGTTCCGATTGAATACGATGCGCTCTAGAAAATACATTCGAACACGACTCAACCGAAGCTTTAAGCCGTATAATTTTGTGCATTATTTAATGAAAAACTTGCAGAATACAGCTATTCATATTTTGTTCGTTTTATCAGAACATCCAAAGCTGCAGTAACGGCGCGGATACACCCCACCCCACACTCCATCCCCTGCCCAACGCCACAACTAAATATTTTTCATTATTTCTATCCCCTTCGAAGTTAACGAGTTAGTAATAATAAAATAAAACCAGAATGGGGGGGTTGGATGGCTGAATGGTTAGCGTGCGCGCGCTGTATCATACGGCCTGTCATTGAGTCAACTGGTGTGGTTTCGAACAAATGAATAGATTTAGGACATGGAAAATAAAACCAAAACTGTTAGCAAAACAATTATGACTATATCGCGTTCGATGATGTTTCCAGTTGTATTTCATACAATTAGTATTCAAACGAAAATCTCTGAATGCATAAGTCGCTAACATCTACGTAATGTTCCCGATCTGGTGCTCACACTAAAAATGAAGTTTGCTAAGAAAGAAGTGTAAAAATTCTAAGCATGTTTTATGTTTATTCTTGAAATGTGTCAAATGAAATGAAATGAAATGAAATGGGGTTTAACGTCCTACTGTTCTGCTCCTATACTGGGCTAATGAAGACGGGCATACGCCATACAGTGTGCTATGAGGGAAATTTTGCCAGGGCAGCGGCACTATCGCCTACTCTTATATCGAATTCCATTTACGCTAAACAAATACAGAAATTAGATTATAATTAGTCTTACAGAGGCATTACAGGCCCGACTCTACTCTACTTCAATTCTATACGTTATGCACCAAGCCCACACCATAAAAATGTCACTGAACAAATCCAACTTGTGCCCGCATAACTAATACTGTTACAGGAATATGGTTAACAGCAGTGCTCACTCGGGGTTCCAATTTTTTTTCCGCCAAAAAAGAAATAAAAATATCTATTAGGTTTTTTTCAGTAATTTTTATTACATTTTTACTTTCAGTATAAATGCATACAATATACATACCAAAGCTTTTTCAAAATCAGGGAATACCACTTTAATTACCTATATTTAACACCATCAAATAAGAAGTGTATTTCTTTTTAAAGAATTTCTGTATCTGTTTTTGATAATATTCTGTCGACTAAACCCCCTTTCACAGTCTGCAGTTGAAACAAGAATATTATAAACACTTGGGAATGTATCAGTTTACGATAAGAAAAATTTACAAACAGCAGTAATATTAATATCATCTAAGTCAGAAAATTGTATATAATTTTTAAATACCATAACTTCTTCAGATAAAATAAAAGTATCAAGTTTCAACACATTTACATAATCTACAATGTTATCAACAAATGCTACATCTATTTTACTATTAAGAGTATGTCCGCGAGAGCATCATGCAGAGGGTGACAAACCTTGGGTCGGGGATTTGGACTAAAAGTTTTCTGGGAGATAATTAGTACCCAAATACATCTCCACAAAATATTAGACTGATTCAGTTGATACCGACCTCGAAAATTGGACAAATATAATAGAAACATAAGCAAAAAAAATAGCAAATTTGGAACCAACTTTGGATGATATGCTATTCGGACAATAATTGATTTGGACAGGCCAAATTCTGGGCATTAGTAGACCACTCGGGTTCCTCCTACACACCGAGTTCGAAGTTTTTACTGCTAATGATACCTTGGTACTGGCCGGATATCCAACACTCTCTGAAAATTCAATTTAAGGAAAACTAAACTTTGAGATGCTATAGCTCGTTCTTTGCGGGGAGTATGGCCACATTTTAATGTTACCAACAACTAGCAAAAAAATACTAAAAAAAAATTAAAAACACCCAATATTGGGATATAATGTTTCGTTTGTCAATACCCCAGAAGAAATATATATATGTATAGACATCGTTACAAATTTAATATATTCCATTTACTCGTTAGCAAGGATGATTTAGTCATGAGAGAAACGGAGGAAATAAGATTTAGCGTCCACTGGACACAAACTAGGTGATTATGAGACTAACATATGTTGATACATATCTATGGACATCTTTACAAAGTTTATATATTCCATTCAGTCCTTAGCAAGGAAGATTTTGACTTTGGAGAGAAAAATCGGGATTTTAAGAGTCTTTCGACATAAACTAGGTCATTTTGGGACTAACATCTGGTACAATTTTACATCAGTAATTCGCGTGAGCGATAAGGGAAAATCCATGAGGTTGGACAAACAACACTACACCATGTCACGTCCTGCAAGCGGTCACGTCACTTAACTCAATGACAGATCTTATGATTTAAAGCCTATGTGTTAGATCAGGGACAAGTTTCATACAATTTACACATATGAATATGATATAGTAATGAAATGATACACGATTTAGAGTTGCATATTTCAGCTCCCAGGTAAAAGATCACTATGCTGTCAATAGTGGCGAAGGTTCACGGCAGAATCTTCAGTACGTTTTGGTGGCTGGAAATGTTCCGTGGAGAACCGGACAGGCCATACCACGAGTTCTTGGGTGGTAGAAAGCCAAGTCCGCGATCGCAAACAGTTAGTCGTCCCTGGCTTGAAGACTTGAAATGTTTCTGGGGGATGTACAGGTTTTAAGAACGAGGGGGTTGTAGATGATTCAATGACATCAAATCGTAGTCACACGATCAGCAAGATGACTACGCAACAAGCACAGGATTAGTAGGTTCGCAAATCCAGTCACCCGCTGGGTATCACCCATCTTTCCTACCAACCTTCCTTGTGCGAAATAGGTAATGTTGGTCACAAATATTTTAGAAATCATTACCAACTGTATTTCGGGGCCGATCGTTGTATAAAAACATTTGGAAGTTTTCATGGAGAGGCATTGAAAATCAGGAGGCTACCGTTCGTTCGTTCTTGGTGTTTAACGTCTGCTTCCACATAAGTGATATCGCAGACAAGACATAGGAGAGCCGACCTGATTCCTGTTTTTTAGAATATGATTTTGCAATCTTTCCATTTGGCCTTAGGCCATGGATTTGGTTTAGTGGGAAGTTCTTCCCTTTATTTAATATAAAACATATCGTT